GTAGCTTATAAGGGGCTGATGAGCAATTCAAATGCGGAAAACTGCGACAATTGAAGCGGAGAAATGAAATGGATACGTTCTTGAAGAAGAGCACGACAAGTAGGAGGGCGATTGGATGTCACATCATTCATTGGGACACTATTTACCCATGACTGCACCACTTTCTGCAGTTTTTCAATGTCAAGCCAAAACCTTCATTGCTCCTCCACTACTTCCGGTTTGCATACTCTACTTGATGAGATGTGTGAACTGCTGCAAAGCTGGAGCAAGCTCATCGAGACCTGTTAACTCACCCAAAGGCTTTCTACATGGATCAACACGTCGATGGGGATTAGCATAGGTGCATAATGCCCCCCCCCCTTCGCCGAACTGCGCCGTCTGCAGGGACTGAGCATTCCGGTAAAACCCGGCTTTTACCTCTAGCTGGATAGACATTTTTTCGCAGTTATTTTGTTTGCGATTTTTAAAGTCCCACTGGGTTGATCCTAAATAATTACTTGTGGATTTGGATGGGATCACACTAATCTGCGCCGCGAACCGGCCTCTAGAGTTACACATCCATTTTCAGTGCAAGCATGAACAACTCCTGTTTATCGAGCCTTTTCATTAGCGCTATCGATCAGTATTATTGATTGCGCCGGAGTTTGAAGATCGTATTGTAGGAGGCAGGGGTAACATTGGTGGAACTCATGTACTTGGTCCTAGATGCTCGTCCTAAAGAGACATTTAAGAAAGCGGTGGAGCACTAAGCGAGCTACACCCATCGACTGACTCCGCCCATATGATCTTCGTGGACGTCTGAGTAATGATATCAAACGTATTCCATGCTTTCAGGGGATCTTGTCAGCTGTCAGAACAACAACTATGAATCTGCTAGTGAGGTAAGTAGAACTAAATTTCTTGAGATTCAGGCGCTGCATACTATCGTGTACCTTTTTTGAACCCTCTGCGTAAGCGGAAGCCCCTCTGCGTAAGCTCCCTTCCATTGTTTGCCGAGTCTCTCTTTCTCAATCCTCTCCTCTCTCTCTCTCTCTCTGCTTCATCCCTTGCTCTCTCTCTCTCTCGAAAAGTGGGTCAGGGCTACAAAAGATGCGTAAGGCCGCGTTCAGACTTAGCAGACGCGCGTGTCGTCGCGAAGTCTGGTCGCTTCCTAAATCCGTGGCTCAGTGACCAAATCGATCCGGTTCACATTGACAGAGAGGCGATGGATTAGGGAAATCGACATACTGATAGTAAGCACCGCTGAAGTGCTCTACACTTTGCTTATTCTGCGCCTTGATTCCTTCCACATCGAAGTTTTTGGCGAAATTGAAAAACTGCAGAAAGTGGTGCAGTCATGGGTAAATAGTGTCCCAATGAATGATGTGACATCCAATCGCCCTCCTACTTGTCGTGCTCTTCTTCAAGAACGTATCCATTTCATTTCTCCGCTTCAATTGTCGCAGTTTTCCGCATTTGAATTGCTCATCAGCCCCTTCATAAGCTACACTCCATTAGCTTTGTTTTCTTTGGTTTTCTGTTCTCCATACAGCCCATATATCTGTAGGATCTACTATCCACTACGTCAAGGGATGATTCTCCGGGGGTCTTTTTGAGCGCTGAAAGTTGTTAACACGAAAACCATTGCCTTTCGACTACCTGAATTTCATTGAAGGGTCTGGGGGCGCTGTTCGGCGACGGGGGGCATTTTGCACTTTCACTGCTGCACTAGTTCCGGTTTTCAGGTTTCACTCTGGTAAAGCCTGTGAACTCTTGTTAAGCTAGAGTAGGCTCGTCGAGCTACCATGATAAAACCTGTCAACCCTTGTGAGCTCATGAAATAGCTCTCTGGTAGTAGCAAAGTGCGAAATCCCCTCCCGTCGCCGAACTGCGCCGGGCCTGGGTCTGGTGTACTGGATAAACACGGTACCCATAGAGCATAGGTGCGTGTTCGAATCCTGTCCTAGGCAAACCTTTTCCCAGCTCGCCTTTGTAACAGGCTCTGCATACCTTTGATGGGATTGTTTCTCGAAGGGATTGACATGATTGAATCAGATTCCAAGGAAGATATCTCTCTTCTTGAACAGGCCATCTATCTCATTCA